TTTTAACTACATTCTTAGAAATGAAGTTATAAAACAAAATATTTTTGTCCACCTAGCTTGTATGAAGCGATGCACTGTGGAACCCCATATAAAGTAGCTGACAATTCCACGAATTAGGCAATAAGAATGGTGAGCAAATAAATTGGATTTTAACAACAAGGTTAACTTTATAAGCAATAGCATTAATGAAAATTAAGATTTTTTTGCGCGGGGAAATAAGCAATAATAAGGTTTGCAAAAATGTCTTATCTTTTGTCACAAAGGATTATCAAATAGAACATAAATAAAACTTCAAAATTTGTAAAACCTATGCACCTGTCTTCTGAGTTAACACTGTTATTAAAGTAATAAATAATTATAAAAATAACAATGTGCACATTGAATCTTTATGCAACAGGCGTAAAAATAAAATCGCACAACAAAAATAAACGGTGTGGGCTACTGGGCGAAAAACGTTATCTTCCAAAATCAGCAACTGTCTCCATAATAGACTATTTTAACCTACCTTTAACGGGTTGACTTTTTTCTTGACTTTTTTTTTTAATTTAGTTTAACGTTCGTTTGTTTTGTAGTATTATAAAAGTTTATTTTTTTGGGTGCTAACATTAGAAGTTAAAAATAAATAAATCACATTAAAACTTTTTTGGCGTATTCCTTGACAAAATTGTGAAATGGAAAGATGAAATACGTTATCTCGAAAGATCAATAATATTGATCTTTCAATATATATGGCCGGGTGAATAAAAAAAAGCAATTGCTTTTACTTAGTAATTAGTCTGCTTTACGTGAATAAAAATTTGACGACTTTTACCGAAGTTTTTGTTCACGTAAAGCTGAGCAACTATTGAGTAAATTGCTTAACTTTACGTGAATAAAAGTTTCTGCAAAACTCCTAAAGTTTTTATTTACGTAAAACCGACCAATTACTGAACAAAAGCAATTGCTTTTTTTTATTCACCTGGCCTATTATCTCAAAAATAAAATCTCAAGGAACATCAGTCAACTTTTATAGAGCAAAACCTTTTTTAAATTCAATTGGCGTATGTCTTTTATATTTCTTTATATTAATTGCCATCTTAATTACGCAAAAATTGCGTAAACAGTACAGTAAAAATAACAAATAAAAATAAAAAACTCTTTAATAAACAAAAGGGCAGGATTGAAGTCTTTTTTTTCAAAAGGAATGACCTTTATAAACTAAATTGGAAATTTAAAAAAATAATAAAAACGTTTAGAAGGGGGCAATAATACCTAACTTGCTACCTGTAAAGACCAATTTAATTTCAGGTAAAGATTTTGCATGTGGAATATTAAATTTTTTGTTATAGCCATTGAAACTTGTGTCGCAGAAAGGAACCTATCGTTTAAAGAATAATTTACTTAGAATTAACATTAATATTACTCATTCAAAATCATACAAATATGTAATTTATCATATGCTTGTAATTAAATAATTATTTACTTTGTGAAGTGAAATTTTTGATTTTTTGATAATTTTGTGTAAGCTGATATTAAAATGTTTCACCGGATGATAACGTCTAAACTAATTAACTACATAAAGCGCATGAAAATAAGTTTTTTTTTTTTTACAATATAGTTAACTGCTAATGAGTAATAAATTACAGCGTTATGGAATCAGAGAACCATTGACCTGGGTAATTATCAATTAGATTATCTAAAAATGTGAACTACTTTTGTTTTGTAAAAATATTTTCTGCATTTTCAGATTTTTCATCCCCTATCAGACTGTACCAGTAAATTTTCTGGGCGTCATTTTTAAAAATGAGTTTAGTTTAAAGTTTAGAATAAAATTATGAAATATAAGTTTAGAATAAAAAAATGAATATTGTTCGTGATTTATGTAACAAAACTCTTGCATAACTTTGCAACTAGATGTTCATTTAGTTTATGAAACACATACAGCCATAAAACCCTCAGGGAAACAAAAGCCAAAGTAATATTAGAGTAAGTGTTAGTTGAGTAAGTTTCGAAACAATTGGATGGGTGCCTAATGTAAAAACAAAAAACTAAGTGGTAGAAATGGTAGTAACTGATCACGTCCATGTTTCGTTACAATTATACAATATAATAAGATTATCCCCAGCAGTAAAAGAAGTTCAGGTCAGATCAAACTCACTTTTATAGAGCTATATAAAGTTTGCAACAAGGACAAGTGATATTCCGTAATAAAATAGAAATAGAATCAATAGTTATATATTAGTTGTACCCTATTTCAAGGTCACATATCTCGGAGACTGGACTGCTAAAACATTTATTAAATTTTGACATTACAATAATTTTTATTATTATTACAATAACAGTAAATTGTTATTGTATTATAAAGATGAATAAATAATATAAAAATACAATAATTATTGTTATTGTTGTGGGTCATTGCAATATACTTTTTTTTCAAATATTGTTATTGTATTATGAAGATGAATTACAATACAATATTTATTGATATTGTATTACAGTATTAAAATAATTGTAAATCACAAGTATTGTTATTGTTTCTAAAAAAGTTAATACAATAACAATAGTTATTGTTTCTGTTATTGTTTTCATTACAACTACAACAGTCAGAACTCTAGTTTATATTAAAAACGTAATAAAATTTCAATTATAAATTATAATCAAGAAAAAAATAATCAAATGAGGCGCATAACAAGAAAGAAAAAGCAGTAAAAAATAACGCAAGAAGCTGCTAAAATTAGGTACTTACAATCAATCAATCAATCATATATATTCTGAAAATACGTTTTCAAGGCTATTTACAAATAGTATTGAAATACTAATCTCAAGTAAATACCTAAAAAAAAAATAATTTATATATATACAATTAATCTTAGTAATAATAATATTATTAATAGTAATAATAATAGCAATAATAACAACAATAATAAAGTAATTATAATAATTTAAATAAATCGGTATTACTTTCCATACAGTAATTATTTTTACAAACAAAGTTACAGTTGCAAACAGTAATAAACTGACAAAACGTAACGATTAACGATGACATAAAAACAACTACTGCTAAAAAAATTATAAAGATTTAGTAGATGATATATATATATATATATATATATATATATTTATATATATATATATATATATATATATATTTTATAAATATATATATATATATATATATATATATATATATATATATATATATATATATATATATATATATATATATATATATATTTTCTGTGGACAAAATTAAAAGATTTTAAAATTTGCATCAAATGGTTTCTTGATGTGTAGGCTTTTACACCATATAAGTAGCGTTCTTAGGTTGAAATTATCAGGATCCATGCTAACACACACACACACACACACACACACACACACACACACACACACACACACACACACACACACACACACACACACACACACACACACACACACACACACACACACACACACACACACATATATATATATATATATATATATATATATATATATATATATATATATATATATATATATATATATATATATATATATATATATATATATATATATATATATATATATATATATATATGTATATATATATATATATATATATATATATATATGTATATATATATATATATATATATATATATATATTAGTGATGTGCCGGGTACCCGTTTCGGACCCGGAGACCCGGTAATTCGGCAGTTTTACCGGGTACCCGGTATCGGCCATTTTGTTGCAGTACCCGGCACCGGGTATCTTCAAATTGATTTTTTCTTTAGTTAAACTTTAACCATTAAACTTCTTGATATAAGTCTAAGAGTGTTATGTAGTCGATAACCACAAAGTTCTATTAACTTAAAACAATCTCACATAAAATATTTTTTAATACACTTTTGCAAAAAAATTTATACGGATACAAAAACTGTAACGCTAAATGAAATAATTCGAGAATTCGAATAAAAAGAATGGGAAACAAAGTTTTAGAATAGCTTCTTTTTATTCTGTTAGAACACAAGATAATTTTTAGCAATTTAGTTTTGAATGAAACGCTTATAATGCTTTCGAACGCTGATAGACTTTTCATTCGTATCAAGCAAAAATCATAAAAGTAGAGATATAAGGTAAATATTATACACATTTTTCATATTTTAATTTCGAGCGTATTATTAAAAAAATTATCTTTTCATATAAAATAAACGAAAACTTTGATATCAAAACTAGTTTCATTATCTTTATAGAAATTTTATTTGAAAGAAAAGTTATGGCAAAAAAAAGTATAGCGTGGAAGTTCTTTGATATAAGCACGACTCCTCATATGAGTAAGTGCAAACTATGTGATAGTTTAATTACAAGAGGAGGAAAATCTTTCAAGTCTTATGGAACTACAGCAATGGTAAAACATTTGCGTTTAAAGCATTCCAAAGAGTTTGAACTTGCGAAGAAAAAAAAAAAGGTTCAATCGTTGCCGTCTATTTCTGAAGCCTCAGTTGCTTCTACCACCAATACAGTACAAAGTAACATTATTCAGGCTTTACAAAAAAAAAAACAGTGGAATATTGATGACCACAGATCTATTCGAATCCATAAAATAATAGGAAAACTTATCACATTGGATATTCAGCCATTTTCTATTGTTGAAGATACGGGGTTTAATGAACTGATTAAAGATGCTTACCCCAATTACAAATTACCATGTAGAATATATTTCAGCCAAAACGTAATCCCTAGCATGTATGATGAACTTTTTAAAGATATAAAAATAAAAATCTCCGCGGCAAACTATTTGTCTCTGACGACAGATATTTGGACAGCGGATACTGCAAAAATCGCATTTTTAAGCATTACTGGACATTGGATAGATCTAACTAAATTTTCCCAAGAAACTGCTGTTCTTTGAGTAATTCATTTTCCGGAAAAGCACACAGGTGTTCATATAAAAGAGTATTTACAAAAAGGTTTAGAAACTTTTGAAATCCCGTTAAGCAAAATTCATCTTATTGTTACCGATAATGCAAGCAATATGAAGGCTGCAGTAAAAAACAGTGGAATGTCATCAATTCCATGCTTTATCCATACTTTGCAGCTATGTATTCATGACTCTATATTTAGCCAAGAAATCATCAAGGAAATTTTAACTTTATGCAGAGGAATAACAACACATTTTAATTATTCACCAATAGCATGTGCAAAATTAAAATCAATTCAGCAGCAGTTAAGTACTGTACCTCACAAAATGAAACAAGATGTTCCAACTCGCTGGAACAGTTCATTTGAAATGCTACAAAGAATGTTTGAACAAAAAGTTCCTTTGGCCACCTATGCAGCAGAATATGATGAAATTAAACTTCCTACTAATTATCAATGGGGAATAGTCGAAAAACTTGTTCACATTCTTGCTCCATTTAAAAACTTAACAAAAAAATGTGGTAGGAGGGACGAAACTTGCGCACAAATTATACCATCTGTTCTTGCATTAAAAGTTTTATTACAAAAAGCTTCATCAAGTGATATATACGCTGGGATTATGACGATGATTGATGAACTAATAAAATCTGTTACTAAAAGACTTGATAAATTTTTGCTTAATAAAATGTTATGTGTATCAACATTTTTGGATCCACGATATAAATTACTTTATCAACATGCAGATGAAAATGTTATTAAGGAGTGGGTTGAAGAAGCATGGAAAGAAATGCAAGGAGCGCAAGATGTTGTTGACTCTGACTCCGACAATGCTCCAATAGTAAAAGCTCCAGCATCTAATGGATTCATTAGCATTGATGATTGTTTTAAAGATGTAGCTTCTATGAGAACCGGAAGAAAGCAGAGTGGAAGACGTTCCGAGGCAGAAAGAGAATTAGTAGATATTGAAGTTGTTACCACTGACATAATTAAGAAGCAAACAAAATTAAAGTCTGCAATTACTCAAGAAATAGACAACTACTTATCTCTGCCTCTTTTTGAAAATAAAAGTTCTCCGTTTTTGTGGTGGAGTAAATGTGGAATGCAATTTGAAAAACTAAAAAAGATGGCATTAAAATATCTTACAGCACCTCCGTCATCAATAGAAAGTGAAAGGTTGTTTAGTGCTGGTGGGGACATATACGAAGCAACAAGGAGCAGACTAAAAGCAGATAACGGAGAATACCTAATGTTTGTGCATTACAATCTAAAGTTAATAAAACAATTAAAATAAGATACAGCAAATAAGTGTTGTTTAAGTTCTTTTTATTTGTTTTATTTTATTCACTGTACAGTCGAGAAGGTCTACCTTTTTTTGCAATTCTTTATATTTCTTAATCTTTTGCTTTCCATAATATAACTTTCAATGGCGGAACTTCAAATTTTGCCCCTTTCCCCACAAAATATTATTTAGGCCCGCTCCACCAGGAAAGAAAAATAATTTTAAACTAAATATAGTTGTTAAAAAACTGTTGCACAACTTTTTAAAATAGTTAGGCCCTGCAACTTAAGCCCCTTTTCCTGCATTGCGGGGTTTTGCTAAATAGTACGTCGGCCACATAACTTTTTGTTAGTTAGCGTAAAAAGCGTATTTTGTGTAAATAGTTCAGCCCTAGAGATTTCACAAATTTTTATTCCAACTTTTAAAAAATGGACTCGGTGCCGAGTACCCGGACTCGGACCCAGTTTTTTCAGCCGGGTACCCGGAATCGGAGACTCGGCATAAACTGGTTCCGGCACATCTCTAATATATATATATATATATACATATATATATATATATATATATATATATATATATATATATATATATATATATATATATATATACATATATATATATATATATATATATATATATATATATATATATATATATATATATATATATATATATATATATATATATATATATATATATATAAATATTAATATATTAATATAATCATTACGAAACAAAAAAAAAAACTATGCAAAATAAACAAAACAATCAACAACAAAAAAAAAACTTAAAATTAAAAATAATAATAATAATACACGGTAGAATTAAACATATATAATAAATGGCTAAAATGAAAATAAAAACAAATAATATATAACTGTATAAAAAAATGAATAAACTAAAAATGAATAATAACTAAAAAACAAACAAATGACTGACAAAAAATAATAAGTAAAGCTATATATATAAGTAAAGCTATATATATAGCTTTACTTATTATTTTTTGTTAAAATGAATAATAACTAAAAAACAAACAAATGACTGACAAAAAATAAGTAAAGCTATAAATATAGCTTTACTTATTATTTTTTGTTAGTCATTTGTTTGTTTTTTAGTTATTATTCATTTTTAGTTATTAGTTATTATTTATTTTTCTTCAATTTTTTAGCGTATATAAATACGCTAAAAAATCGAAGAAAAATAAATAAATAATAAAATAAATAATCCTAAAAAATATATGAAAAAAAAATTAAAGAAATGTATGAAAAAATAAATAAAAATCTTGATTTGCCGATCGATGTTCCGCTCTTTAAATAGTTTTTTTTCATTCTTTACCATTTCTTTTTGTATATTTCATTCATTAACGTTATTCTTACATATTAGATACTAACCTACTCATGTCATAGCTACTCAAATATTACCGATTAACTGATTGATTTTGATTTCAGATAATTAGTGAAATATGTCAAATTGAGTTGCAATTGTATTTATTGATGTTATAATTTCATGTCAAAAATTATTTATATAGCTGAGTATATTTTAGTACTTATTTTGCATATAAATTTATGTTTTACGCAAGTAGAATGCAAAGTAGTTTTTCTAAACCTGACTTTCTATTGAAGTCGCTCTAGTACACTGATAATTTATTGACGCAAATGTATAAGTGCTGTAAATGTAAACTTAAAAAAAAAAATTGAATGAATAAACAGATCCTGTTGACCAGAAATAACTGCTTGCGGTTATTAGGACTAAACAAGACAAATAAAAACGAGAGCTTACGTTAATTACGTTAAGAATGGGTAGGTGGAATCGGCAGAGCAGGTCATAAAATTAGTTGAATTTTTTAAAATAATCTGCCAAAGATGCAAGCGTTTTGAGAAAAGTTTTTTGCACAAATGGTTTTTGTATTAGGTAGTAAACACCTTACCAATAAAAAAATAATTTGCCATACTCTAATATCTGATCTGCAAATATTTCGGCAGATCACGTTATAATTAGATGGTAAAATGAATATACCATCAGTAATTATATTAATATATCCCTTTTACCATTAATTTTCAATCAAACGTGACACATTTTACCTATATTGATTTTTTCTACCAATAAGTTTCAACGGGAGGCTGCATAAGCGCGATTTGGCATATTTGCGAACTGGCATAAATGCGAAGCGTTGCAAAAACTGGCATAAGTGCGAACTGGCATAAGTGCGCCGAAACATTTTGGAAACATTGGCATAAGTGCGAATTAGCATAAGTAATAAATAAAAACTAGCACACGTGCGAACTGGCATTAGTGCGAAGCAGTTACAAAAACTGGCATAAGTGCGCCGAAAAAATTTGCAAACATTAGCATAAGTGCGAAGCAGTTACAAAAACTGGCATAACTGCGAATTGGCATAAGTGCGCCGAATAAAATTTTAAATATTGGCATAAGTGCAAGTTAGTATTTTGCACTTATGCCAATATTTGCAAATTTATTTGGCGCGCTTATGCCAATTCGCAGTTACGCCAGTTTTTGTAACTGCTTCGCACTAATGCCAGTTCGAACGTGTGCTAGTTTTTATAACTAATTCGCACTTATGCCAACGCTTGCAAAATGTTTTTGGCGCACTTATGCCAGTTCGCACCTATGAAATTCGCGCTTATTCAGTCGTCCCAGTTTCAACATGAAGTGCATCGTTTTTCATGGTATATTTGGCGGATCACAAAACAATAACTCTAACATTAGCTCATCCGAATTATTTAGCAGATCGCTTATAAGAATTCAGCTAATTTTATATTCCTAAATTTATAATTACATATTTGTAGTAGGTTAGTACTAGGTACCTGTTTTTTTTTTTAATTCAATTTCGCCATTTCTTTTGAGATACGTAACAAAAGATGTATTTAAAGTAGGAAGTTTTTTTTTTTATTTATGGCTACCCAAAAACTTATTTAGATGCAATAATTTTAAAACAGTTTCTGAAGTCAAACCCCATTATTCATTTTTTATATTAAAAACTGAATAAAATAGTAACTAAACAATATGGCGAGGTAACTTTATATTGACACAAACTTTATATATAAACAAAACCATCTCGCAATATTGTTTTATTTTTGTTTTATACAACTATTTACAATATTTAGAGAGGTTGTAAGCTATTTAAAAGAGAGGTTGTAAGCTATTATTTCCAGAAATAAAGTCGTTGTGACTTGAGGATTTACTACGGAAATTTAAGAAAATGATATTTTTAATCTAAAGACATCGGGAAAAAAAACAATAATAGAATCAAATTATAAGATTTGCATTATACTATTGGTGGAGGAATGTGCTGGTAAGACGTATCCCTGTTTTAGGCTGATTTTCCTGTGGTTAAGTCAAGCTTTGATAAAACACAACAACAGCAAAAATACTTAATAATAAACTTATTACTTGAAATTGAACAAAATACAATCAACTAAGAAAATTGTATTAAAAAGAATTGCATAACAACTTTGTACGCATATACAAGCGAACCAGCTTCCGTTACCGTTACTAACGATAAATATTTTATATAGCCTATCAACGTTTGTTTACCTAGTATCTATTTGACTTAAACACTGTGTAGCAAGCTTTGAAGCGATTTTCTAATGTTACTAAAGTTTTCATTGCGCTGGAAAAAAAAAAAAAAAAAAATTAATCAAAAAGAATAATACAAACAAACAAACACAATTTTTTTTAGATAAGTACAAACCGCTCCATCGATCATTTTTTTGCGCAAACTCGACAACTCTTTTCTTAATTCGACATGTATATTAGTTTGCTGATCACGATGAACCTTAGCTAACTCACTAACACTTTTCGTATAGTGTTCATGAAGCGTTTTTAACGATTTTAACCGTTGGTTTTGAACAACTCGTTGTTGCTGAAGCGATTTCTGTAGCTGTCGAAAAATGGCCTGCAAAAATAATTTCAATTTTAAAAACAAAAATTACTTTTTAAATTCCATCATATATATTCCATCATAAAATTATAATTTTTTGTTTTTTATTTTATATTTATTGTTAATCTTTACACAATATATAAAATAGAAAGAAAAAAAATACAAATGAATATAGTAATAATAATAAAGAATACGGAAGCCCAAAGAAGACCGTGAGTCCTTGTCGCTAAGATTTGAAGTTAAACTTTTTTAATATTTAACTTTTTTCGGGTGTTGCATGCTTGTAGTAATAAAATAATTGAGTTTTTAATTTTAAATTACAAGAAGGTGATTATTGTGATTGTTCATGTCCATAGTTTTTTAGATAAAAATTTTGTTTTTCTTCACTTTTTTATTTTCACCGATCGTTAATAGAATCTTACTCACATTTTTATATTTTACGGTTATAAATTCCATCATCTTTTATAGTTCGTACACTTTAGTTTTAAGAATTTTCTTTTCTTTTCTTTTCTATATATATATATATATATATATATATATATATATATATATATATATATATATATATATATATATATATATATATATATATATATATATATATATATATATATATATATATATATATATATATATATATATATATATATATATATATATATATGTATACATATATATATATAAAATATATATACATATATATACATTTATACACACACACAAATTAATAGACACAGTTGCGGCAAAAGAGCAAAGAAGGGGGGCAATGGGTATTTAATGGGTATCATGATAAAAGGTATTACTTGTACAGCAGTAAGGAAAAAACTTCTTGTTTTATTTGCTGCTATGCAGTTCAAGCTTTCATAAAGAATATTCTAAAAAACCGTTTCAATAATTAAAAAACTGTTTTCTTTTTCATAAAAATAAAATGGAATAGCAAGAGAAAAACAGATTAGAGTCTATTTGCATGATTGCATTACTACACAAATGGACTCTCAAAGATATCTATTAAGTAAAGGGTTAACAATCTAAGGACATTATGAATTAGAATATTAATAACAAAAGCTACTTGAGTTATCTAACTATTCCAAAGAAAGTGTACTGAAAAAATAAATTTTTATCTTTTAAAACACAAATGTTGTGCAATGTTTTATATATAAGAAATGATTGGTGTGTAAACCTTTTTAGTAAAAGTTCTGCATTAAAAAAAAAGATGTATAAAGAAATAAACTTGGACAGATATTAACTGCATCCTGCTACTGTCTGTAGAAAAGACATTTTTTTAGAAGGCAGAAATATTTTAATGAATATCCTGAATAACTTTAATTTACTGACTAGCCTTGCACCACATCCTCATCTAATAGGTTAGTGTAGATGTAAACTTGTGTTGAATTGTTTTTTGCCTAGGATGATATACACCAGATCTTGACTCTACTCACAGGTATTTGATTGTGAATAGTTGGTTATGCAACTCTTCCTGTTATCATATAAACAATATTGCTACTTTAATGTTGTTTTTCAAATTTCAAATTCAAATTTCAAATATCAATAGTATAACATGCCTGATGATTGACATAATTGTATATGTGGCACAATATCTACATTTATGGAGGAAAAAAATTATGTCAATAACTTTTGTAAAATTCTCAGAGAACTGAAAGAAAAAAAAAGGGATTATTTTAGACTTTTCCAAGAGATTAAATGTCACAAATTTGAATTACCATAGAATTCGCTCAGAAAACGTCTTAACTTGAGTTTCTTAAGTACAGAATGTGTCTGTGCTGAAAATTATGAAAACCAAACTGAACAATTAAACAAAGACTTTAAAAAAGGTTCTCAATCAACAACAAAAAATTTTCCATCAAGATTAAGCCGGTCATAAAGTTTCACGGTGCAAGAAAAAAGAATTATTTGAGATGATAAACTGTAATTTTCTTTAAAAAATTTATATTTTTATAAATGACCACTATGCCCACTTATATTCTATAAGGACAGTTTGACGCAAGACTATTTTGTCATTTATATGAAAAGTTTTAACACTGGTTTTAAATAAACAAAAACCAGTAACTTTTATGATGTTAGGTTTAAATAAATAAAAACAGCTTTAAAACGAGGAAACAAATTTAAATAGTTTAACTCATTAAAATTTTGCTAATAAAAGTGACAATCATTAAACGCTTTAAGTTAGACAAAAACTGCAACCTCCAGCTTTTCATCTCCTTCTTTAGTTTTTAAAATGTCAGTTTCCCATTGTCCCAATACTGAACAGATTTGTTTGTTAAATTCTTCATTGATTGTATTTCTAAATAAAATCAAAAATGACCAAATTTTACCTAATATTAAGTTTCTTTCAATGTTTTAAATTATTTTTATATCCTTTTTGCAATCATACATTTTTTGCAATTATTATGATAACGAAAAATTGTTCATTAAAAAACAATATATAGAATAATAGTTAAAGTAGGAAGTTTTTTTTTTTATTTATGGCTACCCAAAAACTTATTTAGATGCAATAATTTTAAAACAGTTTCTGAAGTCAAAATATAGAATAATAACTACTAAAATGAACCAAGATTAAAAGAGGCAATTTTGAATCTGCCTATCTGCTTGTGTGTATGCACACATGCATGTATGTATGTAGACTGACTAGAATACTCTTTTTTATCGTAGGAGAGCACAGCGCCAAAATTTATTAAACATAATTTGTTGCTGCACTCGCCTACATAAAAAAGAGTATTCTGGTCACCCTATATGTATGTACGTATGTATGTATGTATGTATGTATGTATGTATGTATGTATGTATGTATGTATGTATGTATGTACATATGTACATACATTTATAAATGCAACATATGTATGTACATAAATATATACATTGACTTAGGGTTGGATAGGTATTATTTAAATATAAAAGGACTATTATTACAGCAAAAAAATACTAGTTTATATTTTATTATCGCTTGTTTTTTCATCTTTTTCTGAAAAAACACATATAAATAACTTGCACACACACATATACATATATATATATATATATATATATATATATATATATAATATATATATATATATATATATATATATATATACACACACAACTATAAGAAAGGATACGGAGTCCCAAAAGGACTCCGGCTTTATATCTCTACTTTTTCCAAAACTGTTGTGTCTAGAAGCTCTGAACATGTTTTTTGACTTATAATCTGCTATAAGAAATTCATGAGGTTTTATGAGTTGAAACTTATTGCTTTTAAGCCCAAAGTCCTGGAGTCCCGGAGTCCTTGCCGCCATTATGCCTAAAGACACCGGGTTCAAAAAATGATTGTTCCTCTTACCTAAGGATCTTAGTTTTTTTTTCAATTAGTGGTTCATAAACTTTTTTATATTTTTAGAGCTCTTGGATACCAAAAACTAGGAAGAAGTAATCTTTTTGTGACTTTCAAATCTAGAGTCCTTTATGGGACTCCGCATCCCAGATAAGAACACACTTAGATTAGAAATCTGATATCATACTGAAATAAGAAGCTGCAAGGGGTTTCAAAACATGTATCATTATAGGAAAACCTTGCAAGGCAGTTGTTTTGAATAAATGTTAAAGCAAAAATATACAAGTTTAGCTGTCAAAGAAGCTATATTATATGAGATTGAATAAAGCAGAACTACAAAAGATATTGTTGCTTAGTTTGCAAATAAAAAGTTAACAGTGGCAGATATAAATTAAAGATATAAGAAAAGAAATAACTATTTAGTTTCAATAAAATCAGTAATAATCAAAAAGCATGCGTGAAATTTGCTAATGAAAATATGAACTCTATGAGAGAACAATGTACAAAAGTACTTTTCGGTGATGAACCAAAGTTAATGTTATTTGGATATAATGGTATTAGATATTTCTGAAAGGCTAAAAAAAACCCATAAATATCAGCTACCAAGACTAAAGCACAAATGTGACAACATCAGGGTTCAGGGTTGCTTCAGCAGAGATTGTGTAGGTCCTATCTATTTGTTGATAGCATAATTGACAGGAATATGTTAAAGGATATCATTAAAGTTGTTATGCTGCCTGATCTTAAAGATGCTAATTGAAAACCATTAAGAAAACATAATTTATTTGAGATTCTTAAACATGAATAGAAAAAAATCAATATTATTGTGATCATCAAGCTGGTAGGCCTTATGTCACTGTCAAACAGTAAATAATGCTAAGACTTTCTTAAAAAGTATTGAAAGCAAATTAAAACATTTTCACTTAAAAAATGTTTATAAAAAAAACATTACATAATTATGTTACGCTTTATGTTATGTATTGTAGACTTATGTTAAGTGTTAGATTATATATCATGTTATGTATGGTAATGCAAAAGTATAATATTTTCTTAAATAAAAACCACTTTCTTTTCGTTTTCTATACTTAGATATTATTTAGAAAAGTTAAAAATTCTTGGTGCAAACTACATCAAATAAGAAATAAAACAAAGTTCCATTTTCAGATTTTTTTTTCTTTTTGATAACAAAATTTGATTAATAACTAAATAATAAATAAATAGCTAGTGTGAAAACCTAAAAAAAACGCTAATCTAAGGAACTTTTTCAATGCATGATAAACAACGCTTTTTTTATATATATTCTGTTAACATTAGCGTTACAAGCAAATGCTTGTAACAAGAGTAAAATTAAATTTTGCATTTAATAAGCAATTTATTTAATAAATAAACAGATAGGTTGCCCGATAACCGAAAGCTTTCGTAAAAAACTGTTTTGAGGAGCAGCTCGCATTGCTCGCCATGATTATTTTATGAGAGCTTTTCTCTGCTCCCGCACTTATTTATTCCCGCCTAGGCCTGTATGTATGTATGTATGTATGTATGTATGTATGTATGTATATATATATATATATATATATCAGTCTTCTCTGTTTGATGAGCACTTTCGCACTCTTGCAGTTTTGCACTCGCCCACACGCCCACCAATAATACGGCTGGCGCTTTTTTAAGCGCTCGCCAAAAAATTTCAAACGTGTTTTTAAATTGCAACAAATCTTTTTTCTTAATCAAATTCTAATTAAAGAGGTACAAAAAACAAATATTTTTTTAAATCGTGCACGCCGGACAAATAATTACTGTCAGGCCAGCGCTTTTTCGTGCGCTGACGGTAAATTTCAAACGGAGACTGATATATATATACAATATAATTTAGTGTCAAATTTATTTTTACTGACCTATAACAGTTTGAGGTCAGCAATAAATTGCCGACCTCATTTTCCTTATTCCAAGTGTTGTGTGTGTGTGTATATGTATGTATATACATATATATCTATATATATGTATATATATATATATATATATATATATATATATATATATATATATATATATATGTATATATATATATATATATATATATATATATATATATATATATATATATATATATATATATATATATATATATATATATATATATATATATATATATATATATGTATATATATATATATATATATATATATATATATATATATATATATATATATATATATATATATATATATATATATATAATTTAAGTACTAGAAAATATATTTTACCTCTCTGATTGCTGAGCAATAAATATTTCTTCATATTTGCGATTACTTGTTTTTAATGAAGCTTCGGTAAACATAGCAAGTTGCTTCCGCTTTGCAGTTAAACTTTTACTGATGTCAGCTTAATATAATTAAAAAAAAAAAAACTTTTAAAATTACTATTTTACTATTTTAAAAATACTAATAAAATATGCTTTATTTTCTTTTTCCTTGCAATAATTTACTAATTATAAATAAAAAGCAAAAAAAAAAAAAAAAAAAAAAAAAAAAAACAGGTTATAGAAAAACATACACAAATAAATATACAATACACAAATATTTTGTATATTTTTACATACGTAAATGTATGTAAAAAAAAATAAATTATATATATATATAATTTACTGATAAAATTATTAGAAAAAACAACTCCTTTACATTTTATCCAAAGAAACACGAATTCAACATCACTGGATGCATTCATACAAGAAGGTCTGGGGTAAGGGCACAATTCAGACATGTCGAAGAAACATCTGGCTTAAGTTGTTCGTTATGTTAATTTAACTTTTAAAAATATATAAAAACTAATTTAAAAATTATTCAGTAACATATTATTAGACAATCCAACAATATTCTCATACATGGAAGCAACAAAACAAAATATACCAAAACCAAAAGAAACTGAAATTGTAATGATGGCTAAAATTACCAATGAATTCAATACCAAAAGGAAAATTGAAAACAATATTATTGTCAGTTGCATTACCGAATCACCTAGTGAAGACAAAAATACAACCTTAGATATATATAGATTACTGAATCACCTAGTGAAGACAAAAATACAACCTTAGATATATATAGATTACCGAATCACCTAGTGAAGACAAAAATACAACCTTAGAAAATGATAAGCAAAAAATTAAAGCAATGCTCAAAGCAATCAGTGCCAACCTTTCATTTAACAATATAAAAAGAATAATACGTTTAACAACAAAAAATTAAGCATCAGAAGGACGTCCAGACCTGATCTTAATTGAACTAGACAGCATTGACACTCAAAAGTTGGTAATTAGTAATTCAAAGAAATTAAAAGAAATTGATATCTTCAAAAATGTTTACATTAACAAGGACAAAGCTGAAAATGAATGACTATTTGACAATGAATTAAGAAAAATCAGAAACACAAGAAATGCAGCTCTTACTCATTGAAATCAAAACTTTCCAAATCTTACTTATTTAATTCAAGTATTCACACATTAAATAAATTATCCAAATCTTACTTATTTAATTCAAGTATTCACACATTAAATAAACTTTCCAAATCTTACTTATTTAATTCAAGTATTCACACATTAAATAAATTATCCAAATCTTACTTATTTAATTCAAGTATTCACACATTAAATAAACTTTCCAAATCTTACTTATTTAATTCAAGTATTTACACATTAAATAAACTTTCCAAATCTTACTTATTTAATTCAAGTATTCACACATTAAATAAACTTTCCAAATCTTACTTATTTAATTCAAGTATTCACACATTAAATAAATTATCCAAATCTTACTTATTTAATTCAAGTATTCACACATTAAATAAACTTTCCAAATCTTACTTATTTAATTCAAGTATTCACACATTAAATAAATTATCCAAATCTTACTTATTTAATTCAAGTATTCACACATTAAATAAATTATCCAAATCTTACTTATTTAATTCAAGTATTCACACATTAAATAAACTATCCAAATCTTACTTATTTAATTCAAGTATTCACACATTAAATAAACTATCCAAATCTTACTTATTTAATTCAAGTATTCACAACATTAAATAAACTATCCAAATCTTACTTATTTAATTCAAGTATTTACAACATTAAATAAACTATCCAAATCTTACTTATTTAATTCAAGCATTCACACATTAAATAAACTATCCAAATCTTACTTATTTAATTCAAGTATTCACACATTAAATAAATTGCTTCTATTCAAATGCAACTTCACTAAATAATAAATGGGATGAATTTCAATTAATGCTGAGTAAACAAAACCAACCGCACATCATATGCATATCAAAATCCTGGTTTGATGAAAAATCTGTTATCTTCCTGCCTAACTACATTAAAAATCGAACAACTAAAAAAGGTGGAGGTGTGATGATTTACATAAGAAAAGACATTCCATCACTAAAAATAAATTACGAACAATTAAACAGTTCTATAATTGAATCTATCTGGTGTGAAATTAAAACTAAAGCAGAATTTATCCTTATTGGTTGCATATACAGACCACCACACTCAGAACACAAGTAAATACTGCAATTAACAATTCCATTACAACAACTGCCCAACTAGTTAGCTCTAAACGTTTCTCAAGTCTCCTAATAGCAGGCGATTTTAACTATTCAGACATATTATGGGACATCAATGGAGAATCAAGCTGTTCACGTCAATCCAGTATAGAATTTCTAGAATCTCAATTCAAATTTCTTAGTACAATCAGTGCTAGAACCAACTCCTAATAACAACATCATTGATCTAGTAATTACAAATGGCCCAAACAAGATCTATACAATTAACGTTAATGATTCATTATCTCAGTCAAAAAAAACTGCTTCCATTCAACACTAACCTGGGACTTTTATCTAAATGAATCACAAACCATACAAAAAATTAAAATGTACCAAAAAGGAAACTATTCAAATCTAAATGTAGCATTCAACAGCATCATTTGGTTTCAATTATTCAATAATCAAGACATAAATGAAATGATAAACAGTTTACTAAAAATTTATAAAAATAAATAATTATATAAAATGATTACATAAGAAAAGCAAGAGAACTGAAAAAATTAGTAAAAAATGCCCGTATTAAACATGAAAAATCAATAATCAATAAATGCAAATTAAACCCAAAATTACTATACAAATATATAAATAATCAAAAATCATATAAAAACAAATTTATCTCATTAATCGATGCTGATGGCATAAATTTAACATCAAACGTAAAAAAGTTAACTATCTAAATAAACAACTTTATAAAGCATTTACCAGACCAACTGATCAAGAAAATGATTTAACAATAGGTTTATCACCAAAAACAATTAAAAAATATACTTTGAATTTATCTGTTTTATTCTCACCATTAAATGTTAAAACAAAACTTGACTTATTAGATGAAAACAAAGCAGCTGGTATCGATGATATTTCTCCTTATATTTTAAAAAACTGCAGTTCTGCTCTTAGCCTGCCACTTAGTTTATTATTTATCAAAGCATACAATACTGGAACTACACCACAACTACGGAAACAAAGAAATCACACTGATTCCAAAAAAAGGGAAGAAAAATGATTCAACAAATTATCGCTCTCATCATCATCAGTTATAAGTAAAATAATGCAAAACCTAATAAAAGATGATAAAACAAGTTACTTAAACCTACATAACTTAATAGCTAAAGAGCAACGTGGATTCACAACAGGTAAATCAGTAATCACAAATTTACTTGAATCAATAGATGTAATAACCGATTTTAGAATTTACTAAACACAGTTACCGTGAAAATTTCTCTAGAAACAGGATTGGAAGAATTTACCAAAAAACTTAGTAACATCAAAAACAGTTAACGAATTCAAGAAAAAATGTCTTAACAAAAAACAAATAATTAACTAATTGCTACTATAGTAGAATTACAATCCTATTCTGCAAAGATTGTAATATCTGTTGTAAAAAAAATAAATAATATATATATATACATACATATATATATATATATATTTATACATATATATATATATATATATATATATATATATATATATATATATATATATATACTATATATATATATATATATATATATATATATATATATATATATATATATATATATATATATATATATATATATATATATATATATATATATATATATATATATATATATATATATATATATATATATATATTAGAATAATAATAAACTACAATTAAATTTGTAACATTACTCGGAGTTTCATTCTTTATGCGATCATTAAACGTTACAAACAACCATAACAACAACAAAAATTATATACTAAAATGCAATACAGTGTTACCTTAGATGACGTTAAAGTTGCAGATAACAAATTTGTTTTCATGGCGATATTTCAATATTAATTTGTTTATTCGATACTTTCAAAGATGAGGTAATGATATGATATTTTCCCATTAAACAAAGGTAACATGACTTTCTTCCATGTTTAAAAGGTTTTATATAACATAACTATCAAATAGCCTGGCTCGCAGCGAAGTATTGCTACACCGACTGAAGGTTTGGTTTGGGTCAGCATCAAGGTCAGGGTTAGGATTACGGCAAGGTTTAAATATGGTTATGTTACTGTAATTAATTGTTTTTGTAAATAGATAAAAATAAAAGTGAAATACAATATATAATAAATAGATAAAAATAATAAAAATAAATATAAAAAACATATTTTTATAATAAAAAAATTAATTTAAATATGTATAAATAAAAATAAAAAAATTATAAAAATTAAAAAATAATTATATTTATGATAGTAAAGAATAGTAAAAAAAAACTACAAAACGAGAACAAAAAAACATCTCCCTGTAAGCGCCGACTAGGAGTGTATATATATACACACACACACACTATATATATATATATATATATATATATATATATATATATATATATATATATATATATATATATATATATATATATATATATATATATATATATATATATATATATATATATATATGTATATATATATATATATATATATATATATATATATATTCGATGTATGTACTTTTTGTTCTCTATAAAAGTTGCTTACGAAGACATTTTTTTACATAAAAAATAATGCTTACAGGGACAAAAAAATTAATGGGTACACTAAAATGTCCCCAATAATGCTAATGTCCCCGTAAATGTTTGTTTTTTTGTAAAATCTGTCCTTGTAAGTAATAAAACAGGTGTATATATACAGTATTGGCCATTAATAACAATCCATCATGTTATGTTATTATGAATCTAAATTTGAAATTAAATATTTTATAAACTGAAAGTGATTTTTTTCTATTTTTTTTTTTTTTATTGAAATAAATCAAATAATCACAATATAAATTTATTATGAAACAATGAAAATTAAAAAAATTAAAAACTAAAATATTAAATTTAAAACAAGTGTTCATTTGTATCCAAAAAAAAAATGTGGCCAAAATAAACAAACCACAAAAACAAAATTAACAAACCTTTATAAAAAAATACTTACATAACATTAAAAAAAGAATTAATATTTTGTTGACAACCCTTTTGCTTTTAAGCATTTATTGATATATTTCGGCATGGAGTTCACTAAATTCTGAGTAATCTCTTTTGGAACACTATTCACTAATTTTGATACTATTTCTTTCGGCTGGTTGAGATCTTTTATTTCAATTTTACCTAGATTGTGGTTTAACCCAGACCACAAATTATTTATGTAATTGAGATCTGGACTATTGACAGGCCAAGACATGGCTTTAGTGTTGTTTTCTTCAAACAATTGCTTGCAAATCTTAGCAGTATGGGGTTTTATCTTGTTGGAAGATTCTTATGTCTTTTGGGAAAATGTCAATAGAAGGCATTAAACAATTATTCAATATGTCTAAATATCTTGGAGAATTGAGCCTTCCATCAAATAAACAACCGACACCTTCATAGTTCATGTAGAGATAGTATAGGCCCAGATACCTATACTGTCACTACCATGTTTTGTTTCATATGTAGAACAATTTGGGTCCATTTTTTAATGTGGCTTTCTTTTCAGCATTAATTTGTTTTTTCTTAAATCAACCTCAACATTTATTTTAACTCTTAAAAGAATGTTATACCACATGCTCATAGACCAAATTTTATGAGCTAAACACTAGCTTTTTCTTGTTTTTTAATGTTTTACCAATAGACGCGGTTTTTCACAAGCAGCTTGCCACATGTAATTGTGTTCTTGTAGTACTCTTCTAATTGTTTGAGCACTACCAATAACACCAGCAGCTTTTTGTCCTTTTCGACAAGATCAGTAGATAAAAAATTTCTTTTTTTTATCACTATGTGAATAAGTGAACGTTCATTTCTTTTATTTGAAATGCTAAGTCTTCCAGGACATGGAAGATTTTGAATTGTATTGTATCTTTAATATCAGCTGATTATTCTGATAAAAGTGGCATGTGTTGTATTAAAATGTTTTGTAGTTTCTCTTATTAAGATGTTTTGTTCATTCATTACTATGGTTTTACATTTTGTTGCATTATCAATAATTTTTCCAGTCAATTTGATTGTTTTATTGCTGAAATATTGTAGTTAATTAGATACTCATTTTTCTATTTTATTTTTACACAAATTTTTCAAATATTTATAACAACTTAAAAAAAATTTCTCAAATAATTATAAATAGTTTGCAAATAAAACAATCAAAGTACAGGAACAAAGTCATATTTACAGTAACAATGGTATCAAACTAAAACATAAAGAGTCTACAAAAATTATAAGTAATAAAAGTTAATTCTGAAATTTAAATTTTCATTTATTCAAAAATTCATTAAAGATAAAATAAAAGACTTAAACAAACCTGCATAAATTCAACTGCTAACAGTGACTCTAGAGTCATGGTTCAGAACATATTTTTCACTCTTAAAACCTAAGGGGCATTTTAAAACAGAAAAACACCCTAAAATTTTTTCTATATTTGAATTAGACCGCAAAGAAAAGCTTTTCCTTGAAAATATAGTTTTTAAATATAGGTGCAAATATTGACTCATTATTTACTCTTAACATTTAGAGATATCTTGAGCAATACTGAATTGTACAATTTTTCAGTTTTCTGCAGGACTTAGGATGACTTTGACACCAGATATTTATCTTCTACTGGAATTCAAAATTTTTGTGTAAATGTAAAAGAGTACAATTGGAACAAAATTACAAACAAAAGTGAATAATGTGAAACAAAAATATGAAAACAAAAAATTGATTTCCAGTTGTTTAAAACTTTGTTGTAATTACAAAAAATATAAAATGACTCTGGTAATTTATACTTTTGAATTTAAATAGAACTTTTGTAAATTAATCTAAGTTGAGTGATGAAAATTTAACTAGTTTATATGAAATTTTTAACTTTGTTGTGAAAACAAAATAAACAATTTTTAGATTTTTAGAGTTTTATTCAAGGTCCTTAAACTGTTTTAAGACTTATTTGACAATTAAAGACAAAAACAGCTGCTATAGCATCTTTGCATGCTCTCCATCAATGTATATTGATGTTACAGCAGATATTATTTAAATGGTTCTAACTTGACATTGGTTAAATGTTTCTAAAAATTTGTGACAGCCATGTCTATATAAAAACCAAAAAGTGAACAATTTTTTTGAGGAAGATTATTTTCTGACCATATTGATAATTCCATGCTTATATGTCTGGCAGCACTTTTTTATTTGAATAAAATGTGTTCATTAAAAAAATATATTTTTGCTTTATTTTAGAAGAGATCAGACTGAGATGGTTGATTATTCAAAAATGTAGCACAATATAAAAATTACAAAAAATTTATAAGTTTTTGTAATAAAAAAATTAATTTCATTATAATGAATTGTGAGTGGACATTTTTTGGTAGAAGTGATGGTAAGTCAGCAAGTAACAGAAGAATGATTGGCACGATATTCAAGTTTGCTAAGATTTTTATTAATTTTTTTTTTTAAAATTTTAAAAAAGAATTTGATTAATTTTCATGAATATCTAAAAAATTGCCTTCAAAAAAGACAAGTAATTTTTATCATTTTAACCTTACACCTGATGATAATATAAACCACTTTACTCTTCTTTAACACACCCTACATAAATAAGTGTAAGTTTCATCAATATGTTTTATGCTCATCCGTCGTAATAAAAAATGATTTAATTTTTTATGTTGTTTGAATTCATTTTAATTGGATTAAAATCATTGGTATTGAAAAAAATGTTAAAGCCATATTTCTTGCATTCACATTTGTGAAGCAAAATTTTCCAACTATAACAAATGTTTGTTGAATTCCAGATAATATCATATTGTATAAAAACAAGCTCATAATGACTTAAGAAAAAAACTTTTAAAAAACACACCAGTTTTGTTTTAAACCTACAGGGAGTTCTATATGCTTTAAAAATTCAAAATTTTTGCTGTTTGCCTTATAAATAAAATTGTTGATATCCTATTTGAAGTTAAAGTTTTCTAAAGATATCTTTAATATGATGTATATTGGATTTATTTAATTTTTAAATCTTTTGTGAGAAAAGCATAGAAATACTCTGCAATGAAAATATATCTTGCATAAACTTCATCAATATTTTTGAAACTAATATAATTGATCAAATAAAAAATTTAAGTCTAACAAATAATATCAATTAATTTTATGAAACTTTCAGGAAAGTAAGATTTTTTTGATGTTAGAGTTATTTGCTGAAAAAAAAAAAAATAAATAAACATTTGTTTTTGACCTAAATCTGAAAAATAGCTTTAAAAACTTTTTAATTGATAATGTTTGACTTACCACCAAAGCTATGTAAAAGTGAATTTACTTCGGATTCTCCGACACCTTCGGTATCATTGCTAAGAGTTAAACAGGATATGTTGAATTGAATAATTATAAGACTGTTTAGATAAAACAAAAGCTAAAATCTTGTTAAATAAATTTTTACAATTCTTTACTTTTGCATAAAAATAAGGATTAACAAGACAAGCTTACTCTTCCACTTTTTCTTCATCATCACTTTCATTAAAACAATCATCCTTTGACGCTTTTCGTTTTAGTGAAGACTTAGACAATAAAGCTGGCGCTTCTAAACAAATATAAAAAATACTGAAAACTTAAAAAAAAAAATTTAATTTTTTTTAATTATTGCTCCATTCAAATAATAAAAATTTGATATATCTTTTGTTTTGCTTATTATTTAAAAAAAATGCTTAAAAGCATAATTAATTTTGTATTTAACTTGATTTGGAAAAAACTAAACGCATTTAATTACTAAAATTCAAAACACATAATCACAAACACATACTTTAAGCAATGTTTGATGGGAATGAGTACATCTACACTAAGTCAATATCCCATTTTGTGTGTAAGGGTGGATATATATACAGGGGATATTCTAGACTTTTTTCAACAGCATTAAAAAGTGTCTAGAAATGACGTATTTTAGGGGACATTTGGGCGCTGCCCAAATTTAGAAATGGAGAACATTTTTTTAATATATTATTTTTACATCAAATATTGTTTATTAAAATCCAATCGAATTAAGAACATTATTCATTGTTATTATTTCAAAGAAACTTTTAAAAACCATTTAAAGTAGTATACACTTCATTTAACAATGAATACACTACAGTACATTATGTAATTTTACTAAACGTAATTAAAATAGGTAATTTAGTATTTCAAGGTGTGATTGTACTGTTTTTATCCACACTGTAGTGTATTCAGTCATTTTACTTGAGTAAATTATATTTTCTATTAACATTTCTATTATTTTAGTGTTTCTTAACTTGGAATCAACAAGCCTAAAACAAAAATTTCAATTCCAGCAATAGAATCTGTTGCACTTAAAAAACCTTCAATATCCATGATAATATTGCAGTCCAAAGATTTTAGAGATTTTCACCATTTTATTGCTAATTTTTAAAACAGATTACCTATACAAATAGGTTTTATTGAATGGAGCAGATATAGATTTCAACTTGAATATTATTGGTAACAAGTTCTTAAATTCTTTATCTGTAAAGGTCAATGCAGCTTCATTTTCAGAAAGATTAGAGACAAAAAATCTAGGATCTAGTGTGTTTGCAAATCATGCTACAGCATCAGCTCTTTAAAAATTTCAACAGTGTCACATATTTTAGTTTGATCTTATTGCAACTTATCTAAAGCAACTCTAATTGGTTTGTATATTTTCAACAAAAAGTTAGTTAGAATTTACCATATTTTCAACAAAAAGTTAGTTAGAATTTACCATAGAAATTCATTAAACTGAAAAATTTACTTAGAAATTTACCTTATAAATTCATTCAACTGAGTTTTAGAGCAAGACCCTCATTAGGATATCCCTCACAAGAAGAGCTGCATTGCAGAGGGATCATGATGATCTTTAACCTGACCTGACCTGGAGTTGTTTAAAGAAGGTACTTCCTGTATTCTGAAAATGCATTACAAAAGATATTTTACATTTAACAGAATGCTAGAGCTTTTATAGTTGAAGTCACAAATTGGTTAGTTTCACACTGCAACAGAGATTTAAGCAGAACACAAACATAAATAAAATAACTTATGGGTGATTAAAAACAGTGTTAAAGGTACAGATAGTGCACAAACATAGAAATAACAATACAGCTCCAGAGGTTTAGACAGAACACAAACATAAATGTATAGTAAAATTACTTTAAAAACTATTAACCTTTAGTGAAAGTTAAATGAACAGATTTGCTAATATTGAAATCAAAATTTTAGAACTAAAATAATAGAAAATAAGTTTATTAAATACTTATGCTTTTTATTTGAATAGTTATTCAAATACAACACGTAAAGCTATTTTGTTAACTTTACAAATAATACGCAATTTAATATATGTATATTAAGTAATTAATAATTATTTAAAACATTATCAACTAGATAAATTAAATTTACTAAAATATAGTTATTTAATGTTTAAAATACTTTAAACAATTTTCAATAATTATTTACAAATAGCGTGGTAATTGCAACAAAAGTGTTTATTAAAATCTTGAGTATAATAGTGTTCTTATCGTAACTAAAGTACATCCACCGGTAAATTTACTTATTTAAAGAAATATCTTTAAATCAACTTCTTATCTTTAGATTAAACTAATCAAAATAAACACAAATGATTAAATAGGGGAGAGAGGGGGAGGAATCTTAAGAACACCACCACCCCCTCCCCCTCCCCCAACAATGCCGAAAAAAAGTAGGTATTCCCAAATAAACTCTGGGTTCGTCACTACATATATATATATATATATATATATATATATATATATATATATATATATATATATAAATATATATATATATATATATATATCAGGCCTTGTGATGAAGCGGGAGCAATCGTTCTGTGCATGTGAAACACGCCTATAAATGGCCTTCTGGGCATGACTAATGGCACTTGCAAATTTTGTTATGAGTATAAAAATAGAACTTGTCCGAAAAACTTGCAAGGGAAAAAATTATAAATTGATTTTATAAAAAAATCTTTTTGGTAAAAGTCAATTAAACAGTAGAGTTTGCATATTGTTAAATAAATACTTATAAATAGAAGAATGAAAACAAGTCTTAATAGAAGAATAAAAACAAAGACACTCTAATAATATATTTAATAACAAATAAGTTCTTTGTATGCTTAAGCTAATACCATTTGTAGGAAATTCTGCTCAACACAAGTTCAAACAAAGATTATGTTGTTTAACGCCTTTTTTAATTGTTATCTTTGGTATATTCTACAAAAAGACTCATTCCATTGTCTACATATTGCATATAATAATTAACTCCATTGGATTCTAAACAAACCATGAAGGAACAACTTAGTGGCCATCTATTTAACGATGCTATTCCTAAGCAACAATACTTTTATTTCTTATTGTTGCAGAACAGTAAGAACCTCATTATAAAATCTTTTGTAAACTCGTAAATGACAAATTTTTTGTTTATATTTAGTACATTGTAATTATTTTATTCTATTTATTTTACTTGCGCTATCCTAATTATTATTTTTTAGGTCATGAGCCTGTATATTAGTTTGATTTATTGATGAATTTTTATAAATATCACTAAAACAATATTTATATAATTATTCAATATATAAATATGCATTTCAATATATTTTCAATTTTCAATATATATTTCAATTTTGAATACATATTCCTGTGTTAAAAATAAGAAAAAGAGTAACTTGAAAAGAATTTTTTTTTTTAATGTAAAACACGTATAAAAAACAAGCAACAACTTAGAAACCAATTCATATCTCTAATTTATAACACATAGAGTTTACAAAATCAATGCAGTTAAAGTACAGTTTTATTTTCTTTTTTGATTCCATGCAGTTTTGTTTTATTTTATTTTATAGTACTGAAGCAATAATTTTGCATTGAAATGATGTATGCTTGCATTGAAATTCCTTTATACATTTTATTGCCAAATTTTACCATCAGACAAATTAACATTTTCAAATGTGCCAGTTTTGCTGCTGAACTTCAATAATTTGGATTGAATATAGTTATAGATGCTAGCTAATTTTCCCACACAAAACAAACTTAATTAATATGATACTAATATAAATATACTACTACTACTACTACTACTACTACTACTACTACTACTACTACTACTACTACTACTACTACTACTACTACTACTACTACTACTACAACTACTATAATTACAATCACTATAAATTACTATAAAGAAGTAAAAAATCAAAAAAAAAATTGATATCTTTTCCTTTTTTATTTTTTACTGTAGAAAAAGTTAAATAACAAAATGTAAGTTTTAGAAAATATTTAAAGCATGTACATTATCCTAAGGATTATTAAAAAAGATTAATGAAACAAAAAAGGTATATGAAATAACTTTTTGTTTTTATATACCTGTCAAATAAACAGAAGTAGGAAGAGTCTATATTGATGATTTTAAAAGTACTCAATACCTAATTTGAAATTTTTTAGTTATTTCTTAAGCCAATAAGAGTTATCATTAATAAAACCATCTTTTAATCATATTTGTCACCTATTATTATTATTTTTTTTAATCCTTTATTGTTTTCTATAGTGATGATGAATGAAATAACAATACTAATTTCGTCTTATTTAAATCAAAATGCTTTGTCTAAATAACAATAAATACTGATAACCTTAAATAACTGATGTTTATTGAATTATATAAAGTGATTATAAATCAAACTTATAACCAGCATATACTAATAGCTAAAACAGTTTTTTTACCATCAATGTTAAAGAAAAGTTTCACATTTTCCAGCTTTTTTCAGTAACTTGTTCAGAACTAGACCCTTTTTTTGGCTTTTCTAGTGAACTAGACACCTTATTTTGGCAACTTGTTTTTAAAATAAATTAGAAATACATTAATTTCTATTTAATTAGCGTAAATTAAATAATTCTGTAAAATTTTTACTCAACACTGAACTAAACATTGTATTCTGTAAGAGAAATGTCTTACCAGCAAAATTATATCGTTTTCTGTAAGTGTATTTAGTACTAAGTATTTGATGAAATGTAAAGTAAACACAATAAAATCAAGCTAAATATCAAAAGTGAATTTTTATATTAGCTAATAATTTGTTTTTAGTCTCGCGTTGAGTTTTAAATGTATTAAAATATTAGCAAATAGGATTAACAAATAAATTTTTGTAATCGCGTTTTGATTAGCATTATTAAAAACGGTTTATATCGTGATGATTAATTTTAAAACTATTTTAGAAAACCATATATTTCTTTATTTAAAAGCAATATTTTTATACTTTCCGTATTCCATGTAAAATTCCATATAACCTGAAAAAATTATATACAATTTTATAAATTTGTATAAATACTATCAAATTTCCAAAAAAATTAATGTTTTAATAATTCACCGGAAAGTTAAAATACTTATTAAACAATTTTTGGGAGTAACAAACTAATTAAATAAACTTATCAAAATTTTAACAAACCATCAGACGTAATGTTGATTTTTTCATCTCCTAACTCAAAAGTGCCTTTTGTTTGTTTACTCTTTTTTTTATCGTTCATTGCTGCACTAATTGGATAAAGCGTCTATTTTAATCACAAAAAATTTGTTTAACTTTCGAATTTTAAATTTGTTCGAGTAAAAATATTATTGGCGCGATCAGCATTCCGTTAGTTATTTGCAATTAGGATGTTAAAAGATATCTTTAGTGTAGATTATATAATAAAATAACTTTTATTCAGTAATTCATACTTCAATGACAAAAATAAACTGATCCTAGACTTTAAAATAAAATAATTTAACAGTTTAAAAGATACCAGACAGTTATTTATTGAATAATGAATAATAAGTAGGAATAAAGGAAAAACAAAAACCAATACCGGCGAATGCCGACCGTAATTTTCGAATAAATATCCATATTTAACTCAATACAGGCGGAAAAGCAAACTAGCTTGGATAAAACAAGTTTATTTTAAATTAATGTAATGAAGACGTTGTTGCTTGATCAAATTAATTTAATATTTTGTTATATTATTTCTCTAGGGCTATAATTTTTTAATTCGTTTGTTTTGTGTTCGTCGAGCGAAATAAAAAACAAACTTCTACACCCTTGTACAATTTTTTTTTTGGTAACAAATTTGGTAACGCATTAGTCGTTTGTAAAAATAGTATTATTCATATACATAAAATGTGAAATTACAACTTGTGAATTATTTTTAGAAATATTATTTTTTTGTACTTATGGCTAATCGTCGTGGAACCACGAGCAAAAAATCTAGTGAAATGGGATCCAATACTATTAATAATAGTAACTTTTGGGATATTGATAATTATCAAAGGTGTGTTAAAAGAATTGGAGAATCTAGTGCCTTATGTGACGATCTTGTCAAGATGTTTAATGAAAGAATAGAAATTGAAGCAAAATATGGAAAAAAACTAGACGATTGGCATGAAAAGTGGTCTAAAGCATTAGAAAACTCATGCATGTATGCTACCACAAAAGTAGCTGCTTTAGGAACTATTAAAGAAGCACAAGATAGAGCTAAAGTTCATATGGATTGCTGTATGAAAATGCAAAACCAAGTTATAGAAACAATTAAAAGATGGAAAGAATCAAATTATCATCATAAAATATTTGGACTCAAAGAAGCAAAAGAATACGAACAAGAGTTTGCAAAAGCTCAAAAACAATGGGCAAACGCATACAATAAAATTCAAAAAGCAAAAGGCAATTATCATAGTGCTTGCAAAAACCGTGAGGCATGTGCATCATTGTTGAATAATGCTAAACAAGATACAGAAACACTACCAGAAAAGGTAATTTTTTAATAAAAGGTTTTCAAAAGAAGTGAATTTAAAAAAAAAAAATTTTTGCATTAAAGTATTTAAAGTATCACAAACTATCAATAAAAAAAATTTATTTTTGTATATTTATTTTAATTTGTTTGTTATGAACCATTCGTTAATCTATTTATAAATAGTCTGATCTTTTAATTTTCATTATTGAACATTGAAATATAACTTAAATTTTTATTATTGAACATTGAATATGACTTACATGTTAAACATTGAAAATTGACTAATGCATACTAAAAAAGTTTTTCGCAAGGCTTTCAATGCATATATAAACTGACTATTTAGCCGATACAATCTAAATATGAAGGAAATTTATTATAAAAGTGTGCAGAATATATATATATATATATATATATATATATATATATATATATATATATATATATATATATATATATATATATATATGTGTGTGTGTGTCTATACACACACACACACACACACACACACACACCGTAAACTAGGGTTACTGTGAATAGCAAGACAACTTTGGATAAAAATCTTTTTTTTTTAGCTATATTTACGTAAAGTATCTATATGAAGCTGTTTCAATCAGAATATCAAAAATTGTTCATGTTGAAAATTTATCTTTATAATCAGACAAACAATTTGGCATCATAAAAACAAAACAAAAAAAGAAAATAAGTTAAAGTAAATTCTTCTCAAGCAAGTTTAGTTTTTACTAAGAAACAATAGATTCTGAAACGCAGCACTGTAATGTTTTCATATTTGCAAAAAAATGTATTACTTGATCTTTACAACCCACATTTGTGTTTTCAATTTAAAGAATTTTTAATGCATCTTTTTTAATTAAAATTTTTTAATATTAAAAAATGAAATAAGTTCATTATATTATAATATGAGAAGGAGGGAAAAAAAGTTTGCTCCTCATTTAAATTAACGCTCTTTTTTAATTTTAATTTTTTTTTGCATTAACTGTGCTTTCTAAAAAGATTTCAGTATATTATACAATTAACTTTTTTTTTTATATGTATTAAAATATTTTTTTTGTTTTTGTTTTTGTTTATGTACTATTATTTTGGTTGACATATAGATGTTTATAAAAGATTTAAATGTGAATTCTTAGCAGCATTTTAAAAATTTAGTCTTATAAAAATAAAGCAATACGCATAAACGTAAGAAGTGTAAGTAAAAACTTCGACAAACCAATGACTCAATTAAGTAATAATAAAGATGTAAAACTATAATATTTTTCTGAAGTTGCTCTTGGTCTTGCGAAAAAACTGTTTTCGGTTTGATAACTTTCATGAATGTTATGAAAAATCACTCAGGAAGAGTGCCACCAGTTTTTAAAAAATTTCTTTGTTAATTATTTTTAATGTACTTATGCAATTCTTTTGTTACGTGACTCTAACTCTTAATATATAAAATAGATAAAAAAATCATGATAACTGCTTGATAATGTAAGTGATGTAACTTAAGTAAAAAATACAGTATCAAAAAAACAAATTTATTTTACAAAAGTTTTTATAAAAATTTTAAATTGGTATAGAGTTCTCTGCATTTTGTGAAAGTTTCTAATACAAACTGCTTTACTGATTCGCAGAAATAAGACTTATAAGTTGAATTAGTTTTTTTACCTTGTTTTCTGTGTAACATAAGTGCAAGTGGCATTTTCAGTAATTAGTTTGCTCTCTTTTGGCTGAATTCAAAACTTTTAAGTTTATTTTATTTATTAGACCAACAGCTTTCATACAAAATTGCTAAAAGTTTAATTTAAAAGTTTAAATAAGCAAATATTTGATAAAGTTGTTGCACATTAAAATAACATATATGGCAATTCCATTTTTTTATTATTATTAATAATTCATTATTATAGTTATTAATGAGAAAATAAAAACATTAAAATAACATATATGGGCAATTCCATTTTTAACGTAAGTTAAAAATGGAATTGCCCATATATGTTATTTTAATGTTTTTATTTTCTCATTAATAACTATAATAATGAATTATTAATAATAATAAAAAAAGGATGAGCAATTAATTTGGATTTTTTAGCGCAATTTTGAAATGCGTCAATTTTAATGAATGCAATAAAAATCGTGGCCATGTTATCAAAAAAAATATAAGCGTGGTCATTTAAGCCGTGCGACCGCACACCTTTCCTGAGAAGGCCTGCTATAAGATAGTCCAGGGTTCCCACTACTCCTTAAAAACCTTAAATATCCTTTAAAAATAAAAACCTCCTTAAATGTCCTTAAATAACCTTAAATAAAGTTAAAATTTGACTGCACTCCTTAATTTCTCCTTATTTTTTTTAATTATCATATATATATATATATATATATATATATATATATATATATATATATATATATATATATATATATCAGGCTTAGACAGGAATGGCCTGCGATCGCACTCTGTAACTGACCACGCTAATATTTTTATTTCTTTACAAATTGACCACGGTTATTTTGATGTTTTAACAATTTGAATGTAATAGAAAAAGTGTTACGTTATAAATATCTTTTAATTGTTGATCTTTTCTAAAGTTTTTTATTTTACGCAAAGGCTTTAAATAAAACCATAAAACTAATTATAGTTATTGTTTACATAAACGCTTGTGTAAATTAATAAAAAACTTTATAAATAAGTTTTTTTATTATGTAGGCATTTATTTTTTACGATAAATTTCAACGTTTGAAACTATTTTCTTATGTCTTCCTAAAACATTTTTAAACCATTATTTTAAGAAATAATTTTTTTAAGTTATTTTAATTTGTGAATAAGTTTAAAAGGTTTTGTGACCACTAACTTTTACACATTTTATGTGAATTGCACAAGAATATAAAATAACTTTATTTACTTATATAAGCATGTATTTTGTTGATTTCATGAAAAAATTTTAAAGCATTTTGTAATGTTCATACGATTTTCTATGTTCATACGAATTTCTATGATTAAACTTACGATTTTTTAAAATGTTTTAAATAAAAATTTTATTTTTTGTAAACAATTTTTTTTTTTTTTCAATGTTTGTACAAATTAAAAATATTATATAAAACACTTTTTAATAAATTTAATAAAATTTGTTCTTTTATTAAACCGATCATTAATAGTAATTTGTTACTTAATTTAAAAAAGTTGTGCGTAACTTTAATAACGCTTAAAAAGATAAGCTTTAATAATGTTTATTTCATACGTAATTAAAAACTTAACAAAAAGTTATGCTTAGAGTTTAAGTTTTTATTTTCATTTTAGTGCTTATATAATTTCTTTTTCGTTAGGAATTTTTTTTCGTTAGGATTTTTTTTTTTCGTTAGTTTTTTTTTAAATTTTTTTTCTAGTTTAAGTTTAGCTTTGCGTTTCTACATTTGGAACATTTCTGAAATTTTTAACTTATCAAAACATATAAACATTGTTTATTAAACATTTGTGGTCAAGTTGTCAAAAAATAAAATCATTTGCGTGGATATATATATATATATATATATATATATATATATATATATATATATATATATATATATATATATATATATATATATATATATATATATATATATATAAAGTAATATATTAATTTATAATAATTTCTCTGTTTATATTTAAAATTTATTGAAAAAAATAAGATTATTATTTTTATATAATCGTTTTCTCCTTAATTCTCCTTATTTTTTCTTTCAAAAAATTGTCGTTCGCAACCAAATCTCTTTAAATATTAGGAAAATATCTCCTTAAATCTCCTTAAAATCCTTACTTTTAGCGTCAGTTTTAATAGTGGGAACCCTGTAGTCGATGTAGCAACACTCCGTGCATGTTATAAAAATATATTTTAATAAAACAAAAACACCATAATTTATTATTGTGGTTTTTTTAAAAAACAATAAAATTTAATGTACTTCCGCATTAATTTAATTGCTTTGACATTTCAACGACAATAAAATGTAGCTTAATTGTTGAGGTAGCAGAATTGTAGTAAAAAGAGACTTTTTTTTACATTAAAAGTCTCTTTTAACTACACTATAAGGATATATATATATATATATATATATATATATATATATATATATATATATATATATATATATATATATATATATATATGTATATATGTTAGGAAAAAACTTTTATTTTGGCATAAAAGTTCAATTTAAATGAAATTTAATTTATCTTTTAATTGTTTATATGACATTTATTCAGATAATGTTAAGTCTTAAAAAAAAGCATTCAAGTTGTAAACTACTTTGTTAAAGAAATTGAGTACTTTATATAAATTTTTTTTTGAATAAAAGACTTGAAATAAATATAATTTAAATAAATTAAATCTAGTTTTGAAGGAAGGTAAATTAGTTAGTAAAACGTAAAATGTAAAATTTAGTTTTAAAGGAATGTAAAATAGTTTTGCAATATTTAATAAATACATTTTTTTCTTATCAACTGCTGTTAATTCATTACATAATCTAATCTACATCTATTTCATTTGTAAAACACTCTTTAGTGTAGATTGAAATATGTCAAAACTTAAAAAATTACTGTTTTTAAAACATGAAAAGAGTCGCATTTTTAAGAGAATTTTTTACAAATTTATTTCAAATTTTTTGTTTCATGTTAACTATAATTTTTTGTTTCATATTAATATTGTATAAAATTCTCTTAATGTAATTTATTTATGAACATGAATTATGTTTAAAAATATCTTATTCGTAACTAAAATTTATCTGTAAATTGTTTATAATCTTAAATAAAAATATTATATAAAATACGTAAAAAATAAATAAGTTGTGATAAATAAAAAGTTATGTTAAAAATAAGATTGTTTTAAGAAATTTGTTATAAGGAAATTTATTCCTTATAACGAATTTCTTAAAACCTTTTTCATATACCGAATTTAGATTTCATCAGTCATTTTTGTTATATTAGTTTAAATAATTTTTAACGGGGTTTAGAATCAAATTTGATTACAATGCGGTACTTTAAAGTACACTAATTTA